CTTTGGGCAAATTTTTCAAAGCATCTTACTGGGCATTTTTAAAAGATCTGAGCAGCAAAAGCTCATGTTTTCTTCCCTTCAGGTATGAGATACCAACACACCAAAGCAAAGACTCTTTAAAAAACCCTGCATCAATAATAGCTGCAATAAGTCCTTGCCCAAAGGACTTACGCAGAGTATCAGAAAGCAGCTGTTCCCCCCCAGCTCTGCTTCATACAGTTTTTGCCTTCAGTCAGTAGTCATACTGTGTGTAAAAGTGACAAAGATGAGCACCAGTGGTTCTTCAGCTGTATGTGGTTCACAGGTAGGTCAAGCAGGTCCCAGGCTAGGGCAGTGCCTTCTGAGCAGCAGTAAGGGTGCAGTGACACAGGAATACAGTCATCCTATAGAAAGTACACCTGAGGAGCTCTCTCGTCTCCAACCTATGAAATACTCATAGAGCATTCCCTCCCACTCCTTAGTTCTCCAAAACAAACATCCTGCATCTTTCTTCTGAATATAAAGGTAAAAAAAAATTTATATAAACTTGTGTAGTCACAGCATTTAATCATCATTACTACACATGATCTCGCACCACAGTCCTGCAAGCAAACGTTTCCTTTACTGCCCCACATCTGCACTCACAGCTCTCAGGGTATTTGTATTATTACAGTGTTTTTCCTGTCAGAAGAGGATTAGGCAGGAACAGGGTGGGAGGGCTCTGAAAGGAAAGATGATCCATTTGGCAATGAAGCCACTTTCCTCGTGCAACACTGTCCTGCCCTGAAAGACTTGGCATGGCAATAATTTGATATCTTTGCTTTCCTCCTCTGACACTTTGGCAAGATTTTCAAAAGCACCTCAGATCTTGCAGCTTCCACAGAAGTCAGAGCTTGCAATGCTGAATGCCTCAAAAAAGCAAACCACTACTATTTTTACTCAGATAGGATTCCAAATGTACAGTAGCAATTAACAAAATAAATTTTATACTTGTTGATTTAAATACAACTTTCTAATACATGCAGTCCCTCCTATGTACCAATTGTTTCTCTCTTCTCAAATTTGACTAATTTTACAGCAACTAGAATTGACAGAGAAAAGTCAAAACTAAAGGCAGACATCATCAAAAGTATTCGTTTTCTGCAACACTCTAGTTCATAAAAGAAAGTCAAAAAGATAAAACAGGAAATTAAATATTGAAGTATAAAAATAATCCACACCTTCTAAGCCAGATAAAATATGTCTTACCACATTGCTTATTAATACTGGTATAAGAAGATAAAATCCAAAACCTCAGGCTGTTTTTATCCTTCAATAACATAGCATTACAGGTGTCAGAGGGGCACCTTATAAAGTGATGCTTTTCCTTCCCACTTGTCCCAGATCAGTAGCAAAATGTAACTTTTATTAAAATCCATTCTTCCACTTGCACGTATCTCTATATATATGTGGAGCAATGCAATGTGAGTTTTAGCAAGTTGCTTTCAGTTATGTGTAAAATATATATATCAATGCATGAACAATGTGTGTAGAGAAACTTAACTTTTGCATTAAAAATAAATAAATTGGAAACCAAAACCAAGCCCAAACCTCTTCCTATTTCCAGTAACACCGCTACAAATCCATCCCAAACCCAACCCCTCCCATGTTTACTATGCCCTCCACCGCTGGAGGGCCCTCTACGACAAAACATCTCTTTAACCTCTTCCCAAAGGGATGCAAATGGTTGAAACCCCAAGGAAAACAAATTAATAACTTGCCTCTTTCTTCTCATTCACAAAGGCTTTTACTAGACTTAAACTGTTAGAAAAATTTCACTCTGTAGAGATCTTCAGCTGGCAGCCCTGAAAGATGCACGACCCCAGTAAGATTTTTACTTGCCATACATCACTCAATAGCTGTAATTTTTTTTTTTAATAAACAATACTCTTTCTTGCCAAGACAATGCTTTATACAACTGCAAATCACTTTGCACCAGTCTATGTGCGACAGTCCAGCATTTCTTCAGGCAAACATTGACATGTACAAGTCAGGGCCAGAGAAAATCCTTCCTGTTCTTGACACTGCCAGTGTCAAGACTTACATGAAAATATCCCAATTATTTTCTGCACTTCATCAAATTTCTATAAATAACATAGCAAATCTGTGAACTACATTGAGCCATCCTATCCCACCATCTGCAGAAAACACAAGGAAAAGAAACAACTCTGCAAGGAATGCAGGGCCACTAAAGCCATTTTCATTAGGTAACAATTTAAGCCTTATAATACACTGCCATGTATTACCCTCTGTTTAAGGAGGATTTAGATCCCAAATAGAAAAAAAAATAACCCCAAAAGTTTGCTGTGGAATGCACAAAAGGCTCCAGGTCTTCTAAATACTTGTAAGCAATCTTGGTGCTGCACCAGGTGTCAGTTTCAAAATCAGCTCAAAGTCAGACCCTACACCAGGGTCAAACACTGCCATGGGAGTGGAGGAGGACACAGGTAGGTGACACCACTACTGTTGTGTACTGAGCTGCTCTGAAGCCTACCTGAGCTTCAAAGGAATTTCCAGGACAGCAACCCCCCTTGTGCTGCTGGAGCAGGTGGCACATGAGAAGCTATTTAGACAGTCCAGCTATGTGCTCCAAAGGCTACCAGAAAGGGGAATATAAATACAAGGAACACCAAACTGTCATCCAGAGCCTACAGTAACACCTTACCCCCACTCCCCTCACTTCAGATTGCACTCTGACTTTTCTTCCCCAGACACTACAACTACTTGAAATTTGCCATTTCTGCCAACACACCTATTTCTGTCACAGCACCTGTAAGCCGTTCTTCTGTTCTCTTCAGCAGAAGCACAGAGTATCTCCAATTAAGCACATAAATAAAACCAGAACATTTCACTTACTAAGATCAGGAGCACTGTGACAGACTCACAGCTAGAATTTGAATTAGAAGTTCAAGACTGAGAGAAAGGTGTCATAAAAAAATAGAGAACTTCTTAGTTCATTACAGCGTTACACTGCAGACAAGATGTTAATTTTTTTGAGACTGAATTTTAATCTGTTACTGTTAGCACTTTACTTATATTAGGAGGGCAGGGTCACGGCATGGCACAAAGAGGACAACACAGAACAGGGACTTAATGTGCCTTGCAAATAACCCCCTTCCCCAGAATGGAGAATGAAAAAAAGGCATAATCATATGGCAAACACAACCAGACAGATTCTTCATATGTTCTTCCATCCTAAGAACATGATACAACCTCCATGGAGTTTTAAGATTTCTCTGGATATTTGCACAAAATCCAAACAGCATTGTTTGTATGTATAGGCCATACCATAATGCTCCCTTCCTTATATCCAAGAGGTCGATCTTTCCTCCAGAGCTGCAATGGATATTGCTGTTTAGCCCCTCTGCACAGGTCAAAGCTTTTGCTTTGCCCTTGCAGTGCCTGAGGCTCTCACTGCTCCACCTGCTGAGAGACCCAGCACACTCCTGCCTGCGCCTGCTCCTGGGCTGCCAGGCCACACTGCCTGCAGCCAAACACTGCCTGCTGCACCCTGCACTCCACAGGTCACAGCAGGAGCCTTCTGACACCCTGGCAAAAAGCACGTCCCTAAAGAACAGCAAAGAGCAGCATGGATTTGGGTGTAAGAGTGAGGACTGTGTTATGTCAGTCTTTCAAAGTGAGAACAATAAGGAAAGAGTATCCAAGCCAGCTGCCCACCACTGAAGCATCAGTGAAGAAACCCAGCACAGCAGAGGATCCAGCTGCAAACATGACAGTACTGACACTGCAGGTGCACTTGGTTTGCATTGTTCAGCTGCAATGTGGAATGCCCAAAATGCAATTATTTGCAAAGAATTTAGATAAAAGGTAATTTTACAAAGCCTCATGTCAAAGCCCCAAGACACTTAGGCCTAGCAATGCACAGCAACAAAAGCCTGATAATTCTCAGTTTTGGATTTAACTGACCTGGCTAAAGCTAGGCTTGTAGCAATACCAGGCAAAAAACTTGGAATCCCTCATTTCCTGGGTTTAAGAGTACTCAGCTTCTTCTCACAAAAGCAGACCTAGCAGAATTTCAGTATTCTGTGGTTTGTTTTTTTTTAATCTGAAGAACATTTTTATCTATTATCCTTTGCAGCATCTATTCACATTTAAATTAATTCTTTACTACTTGTTTTTCTACTCTTCCAAGTTTTGTTCAACGTTATTAAAAGTAATGGTCACATTTGTTAAAACATGCAGTAAGTGTCCAATCCTGGTACTGAAAAATTACCTGCTGCCTTTGTTAAGCAGAAAGCTAACATAATTAAATTGCCTGTTACTGCATTCACCAATTAAAAAGCGTAACGGTGCAAGCAATTCTGAAAGAAACTTTTTTCACACTGAACAAGATGTTCAAAATATCTGCACATACATTATTCTACAGAACTCTTTTCAAAAGTGCTTGGTAGGAGAGTCTGTGAACAGACTCCTGGCTCCAGCTGAAAGAAATCCAGGGAGTTCTATTTTCACCTATTTCCAAAATTCCAGAGCAGAGAGGCACCCTGGTCTCCTCCATCCTTAGGAAGACACAGTCACTATCTTTCCAACAACCCTCATCATTAATCCATTTAAGAGACCAAAGACTCATGCAGACTTTGTCACGCCTTTCTAAGCAATACATAACTGCAAGCATTGTGTGCAGAGGAGCCCTATGAACAGCTATTTAATCTCAGCTCGACACAAACCCAGAACACCACAGAGGTGCAGTACCAGGACATCAAAGCCTCCAGAGAAACAGGCTAAGGGGGAGAGGCAGGGCCAATAAAAAACCCTGAGCATTTTAATGTAATTAGATACCATTAGATGACTGAAGTATAGTATTAATCTTGTCTTGTTCATTAGACAGCACCTTCTAAGAGGCCTATGTCTTAATGCCTTTGGCTTTCATTAATACTTACACAGAAAAATTCACAAAATATACTGCTGTCTTCCTCTTAGACATTATTATGCATTTAAAAAAATTATCGACACCAAAGTTAGAAATTTAATTTATAAAAAAAGGTTCACAAAGGTTGTTTGAATGGCATGTCCATTTCAGAGCAGCCAAGATTCGATATAAAAGGAGGATGAGAACCAGGGATCACTCATGCACAGGTTCACATTGAAGTATGTGCATGCAGTGAACCTGTAGGGTCTTTTGAAAACCCATTTCAGATGATTGTTTACTCCCAACTCCAACATGGAGTTAAGCATTCACTGCACTGCTTGTCAGAAACAAACAGTTTAAGAATAACATCGAACCGTGGCTCAGTTAGAAAAGTTTACACATATTCTGAGCAGTCTTCAGCTCTTCACCTGGGGCTACTCTCTCCTCATGTGTCCATCAACAGCCATGAAGTGTAAAAATAATTGTCATTTGTAGCTTCAAGTTCTTTATAAAAAGATTTTCAGGGTCCTTTACAAAAATTTTTGATGGTTCTTCACTTCTGCAGATGACATGATAAGACAATGAGGAGATACTCATGGGTCCATTTTTAATGTCCTCTTCCTATTTTAAGAGAAAAGAAAAATACATCAAACAATTCTTATCTTAGTTGTGCTTCAAGCAAATTCTATAGATAACACTGAATGAGTTGATAAAATAAAATGCAAAAAACATGGTTTTACACATGCATCAACAAATGCAGAGTACTGAGCTTCAGTTTAAACTACTAGGATGCACAGAAATCTCTTGCACAGAACTATAAACATCTATAAGACATTAAAAGTCACAAGATTCTGTTTAATATTTACAAGCTTTAAATTATTTTAATTTTTATAAGCTTTTTAATATTTACAAGCTTTTTTTTTTTTAGAAGCTATTCTTATTACTGAAAGGTAAAAACCCCACACTTACCCCGAAAGCCTCCTCCACCACCTCTTCCTCCTCTGAATCCTCCTCCTCCTCCGCCTCTACCTCCTCTGAATCCTCCTCCTCTTCCTCCACCTCTGCCTCCTCCAAATCCTCCTAAACAAAAGAAATTACCCTTTGAGGAGCATGTAAATTCTTGGTTATGCACAACAATTTATTTCATAGACAGCTTATGAAATGAAACGAACAACAACAAAAAACCAGGAACTGTCAATCGCCAGACAGTTACCAGGTCAATTACTAGTACCCTGTTTCTTCTAGGGACCATCTGGAGCATTTTAGGTATTCCTTAATATCTGATATACCATGTCCAAAATACTAAAGAGACTTAACAATTGCCTTCACAAGAGCAAAAATAAATTACATATATTAACCAGTAATTCATTACAACTATTAGTAATTATTATCTATTAATTGCAACTCAACATTAAACCAAACAAACCAAACCACTTTGAAACACTCAGGCCTTGCTGCAAAGGGGCAGGGTATGGAAAAGAGACAAGAAACTGTGATGTAAGAAAAAACAAACTTCAGCTTTAATTGAAGAGTACATCACGGGTGATGTTCAAAAAACTTTCTGTCTTTGTTACAAATCAGCATTCTCTCCTCCCTCTGCTTTGGAGCTGTTATTTAGCCAGTCTCACCACCTGAAAGGTATCACTGCCTTTTCTATAAAGTCAAGCAGAAACATCTTTATTTGCAATACAGCTGTTGATATTCAAGTACTCACCAGCAGCTTCAGAAAACAAAACACAAATATTCCACAGAACAAATGACCAAAGCAACCCATGACATCTCAAATAACGCCAACATTCTGCAGCTTTAAGATTCTTGTGATCTTACCTCTACCACCACCTCTTCCTCCCCCACGTCCACCACCACGTCCTCCTCTACCACCTCCTCTGGGAGCACCTTTTTCTCCAGGGGGCCTTGGCAAAAATCTCTGAAGAGGCAGCAGCTTTGCTGGATCAATGTAAAACTGCAGGAAGAGAATTCCATTAGGCTTTCAAAATAACAAGACTGAAAAGCACATTAATATCTTTCTTTACAAATATCCATAATTTGGTCTTATCCCATTATGTCAAACTGTACTCTGCAAAAAGCCAAACAGAGAAAGCACACAAGAAGTAAATCCCAGAATTAAAAAGCTGCTAAAATATAGGTGGTATTTGTATGATTTTGTTGCATCTTTTCTTGTGGGGCAGGGAGAGGGAATAATGTGGCAAACACAAAACTGGAAAGGATGAGGAATTTAATTCCTATGTTTACATAGGACAATCTGCTTTTAAAGTTATTAAAAACTTAATAAAGCTTTTATTATCTGCTGACAAAGACTTAGCTAACAGATGACATTCAGTAAAATTCTGTTATTGAGACTGACTTACCTTTTGCATTTTTTTAAATGAAGAGGCTTTCATGTTCTCAGACAGTTTCACTGAAAAATACTGTTGGTTTCCTTAAGGAGCACTGCAGTAATAAAGCTTGCAAAACTGTGATTTTGATCAGCATATGGAAGGAACATTCAGACATTTTCTAAGTATTTCATAAATTCAGCTAAATTTCAACACAATTCCAACTAAAAGTGATTTAAACCTGCATAATTTACTTCATATTTAATGTGGGAGAGGAAAATGCACGTAGCTAGTGACTGGTATTCAACCAACACAGGCTGAGTCCTAACTGGGTTACCCCCCCAGCTATCCTGCTTTTGTCATGGGTTCTGTCCACCTGGCAGTGACCACAAAATGTACGCAGTGTCTCTGTGTCAGGCTGGCTCTGCCAGAGATGTCCTGATATCTCTTATGTCAGAGATATGCCCATTTTTATGGGCAGGTAAAGTAATAAACTGGACAATGAGCCACAGGACATCTTAGTATAAACTCACTTTATAATTAAATAATGTGCTGGAGCATGAGCAAGGTCCCCTAACCCACAAAAAAACCCCAAGGCCCTTGATCCAACTCAGCCATGGCTTAGTAACCTATAGCAGAAAATTTGGTCAGTTAGCCACAAAAAGCAACAATTTGAACCATCATGGATCCAAAACACAGCATCAGTACTGCTAAAGAGTGAAAACCTTTGACTGACTTCAAGTGCTCTGTCATATCACAAAAGCTCTAAGGTGGGCACTTGATGTGAATGAAGCACCTACAGTTACAGCAAGACTCACAGAGAACTGGTAGCCAACCCCTGAACTATTTAAAATCCTAGAGAAATCCCATTTCATATCAAATCAATTATTGAACATTTTTTGAAGGATACAAAGTCTCTCAGCTGTCCAAATATTTCATCCACTTTGCCAATCTGCTCCTTATTATCCAGGTACACTGGGGCATTGAAATAAGGCACCTTGTTTTCTTCTGTTTTACACTTACAAACTATGTCATCTTCACAGGGATGCATGAACTCTCCCAACACTGAAATAAAGAACAAACAAGCTGAAGAGCCGGAGCAGACAATCTCAACAAAATAAATGAAGTTTCTCCATGTAACTTACAAACTACCCTTTCTGGAGGGCCCTGGTCATATCCTCCTCTGTTGAAGCCTCCTCTTCCACCTCCCCGTCCAAAGCCACCTCGCCCGCCGCGGCTGAAGCCGCCCCTGTCACCGCCACCTCCTCCACGGTTAAAGCCACCTCCTCTTCCTCCTCCACCTCCTCTTCCACGAAAAGACATTCTCTACTGTTTCCTGCATTGTGAACAAAAAAAAAAATCAGATGTATGCGTCACATTTGATTTGCTGTAGGAACTGCAGTCTCCTGTCAGCCTGGTTTGTTAATTTAATGGTTTGTCCTTTCCAATCCTCACCAGAAACATGCTGGCCCATGAAAAATCAAGTTTGCACCTAAGATGTCATCCACTGCAACATCCACTGCAAAAAGTGACTAGCAGTGATCAGCTAGTCATCTTTCACCCATATGTACAAAGAAGCCATATCTGATGGCATCCCAGCCAGTCCCCAGCCCCACAAGTGGCACAAAGTGAGAACATCACAGAATGGTTTGGGTTGGAAGGGCTCCTAAAGGTCAACTTCTTCCAACCTCTCTGCTGTGTGCAGGGACACCTTCCACAGGCTGCTCAGGGCCCATCCAGCCTGGCCTTGAACACTCCCTGGGATGGGGCATCCACAGCTTCCCTGGGCAGCGTGTTCCAGTGCTCTCACAGTAAAGAACTTCTTCCTAATATCCTATCTCAACCCACCCTCTTTCAGCTCAAAACTGTCTCCTCTTATTCTATCCCTACATGCCCTTGGGAAAACTCCCCCTCAAGTTCTGCTGTAGCCTCCTTCAGGCACTGGAAGGCTGCAATAAAATCTTCCCAGAACCTTCTCTACTCCAGGCTGAACATTCCCCACTCTCAGCCTGACTGCAGAGGTGCTCCAGCCCTGGGACCAGCTTCGTGGCCTCCTCTGGATCTGCTCCAAAAACGCCACGTCTCTTCCGTGCTGGGCACCCCAGAGCTGTTGCAGCCCTGCAGGTGGGGTCTCAGCAGAGCAGAGCAGAGGAGCAGAATCCCTCCCTGCTGCCCACGCTGCTCTGGATGCAGCCCAGGACAAGTTTGGCTCTCGGGGCTGTGAGTGCACATTGCTGGGTCAGGTCTATCCTGTCTCCCACCGGCACCCCAAGTCCTTCTCAGCAGGGCTGCTCTCCCTCTAGCCATCCCTCCCAGCCCGTGTTGGTACCAGGGGTCGTCCCGACCCTTCCTCTCGGCCCCGTTAAACCTCGGGAGGTTCCCTCGGGAGGCTCCCTCGGGAGGCCGCACTGCTCGGGTTCGGCCGCACTCGGCGCGCACCCGCAGCGCCTCACAGAGCCCTCGGGAGGCGGCCTACATGCAGGGCGGAGGGAGCCCATCTCCCGGGGCCATTCCCTGAGGGATGACGGACGGACAGACGGACACGGCCGGACGTACCTGCACGTGCGCGCCGCGCCCGCCCGGAAACACCCGCGCTGCCGCAAACGGGGCTGCCTGCCGTAAATGAAAGGGCGCCCGGCGGCCGGCACTGTCGCAAAGCACTCGCCATTCCCGATAATTGCCGTGCGCCGGGAGCGAGCGTCCCGCGCTCCCGAGGGAGGGATCGCTGAGACACACCCAGCGGGTGACAACAGCGACCTTGCACAGCAGCCCGGCACACGGGAACAACTGCGGTCAGGGAGCCGGGGCGATGGATCGATCGGAGTCTCTGCGCAAAGCAAAGCGTCACCCCAACACGCGCTTCCTTCTGTGAAAAATGTGTGGTTTAGGGTTGGCTGTTCGCAAGTATTAAAATGAATATTGGATGTGTTATGTTAGACAGTTGTGCTGTGTTAATCTTCTTAGGTAGTGTGTTCAGTATAGCTTTAGGTTATAACATAATGTTAAAACAGAAACTCTAAGATGCTATGTAAGATTCTTTTTTTAAAGAAAGGACTCGCAGCAGACGGCAGCCACAGGACACCTAAATCTTTCAGAGAAAGGGAATTTAATGCTCCCTTATCAGCAGAAAAGTAACTTCTTCCCACCTCGCTCAGACACACTTAGGATTAAGAGGAGAAGCTGACGATGACCAGACAGAATGCTGTGTTTGAATGGAATGTATGCATCATGTATGAGGTGTATGAATATGCAACAGGCGGTTGTTCCTAAGGGTTAATCCTCTGTTTCTCGGGCTCGTGTTGCCCACAAAACGTACCCGGACGTCCGTATCTCTTTGTTTTTATTGTCTCATATTGTCCTAATCTCAATTGTTCAAATTTTATTACTCTAATTATATTACTATTGTTATAACCATTTCATTACGATTAAACTTTTAAAAATCTTAAAACCAAGTGATTGGCGTTTTTCACACTTTTAATCATTTATTTCAAGGGCTTCACTTCTGTTATCTGTCATCCACTTATGACAAAACCAGTTAAGGCAGGATCTTTTGAAGAGATCAGATTTATCGGTTCATAGTTGAGGCTCCTGTACTTTATTTCTAAACACACTTGAAAATATTTTTCTAATGGTTAAAAATTAAACCCAAATCTAACAGCTGACATTCAAAAGAATCCCAGCCAGAGGAATTAGTCTAGGAAGAGAGATAAAATTTCATCATGCGAATGCTCCCAATCTGCTTGGTTTTCTTGTGTCTCTTTCGTCTTTGTGGATCAGAGGTAAGATATGTTCTATTGTGTTAGCAGTATTTTTTAAATGTTTAATAAACAGTTTATTGTTATAAAAGCAAAACCAATTGGTTTTTTTTTTTTGTTTTTTTTTTTTTTTTAAGTTCCTTTCATAGTATTTGTGCTTCATATATTTGTTTTAGCCCAGCCTGGGTGTTTGAAATTTGCTGTTTCTCTTTAATGCTTTGATTCTACCTGGTGCTTATGCTAACAGGTTTGTGGAAAAGATTTTAATCATGATCCTATCCGAAACCAAATTTGCAAGCATGGCTGACCACAGAAAGGTGCTGCAATTTTCCCCACCTCCCTTTTCTGAGAAATGGGATTGCAGTCTTGTATTATGGCAGCATGGTATTCTCCTGCTGCCAGAAGGTTTCCTGTGGATTTTCTCCGGGCAGAAGTGTCCAGGAAATCCCAACTGGGCTGGGCAGTCAGCACAATCCAAGCCTTTCAGAGAAGTTCTGAGATAAAAATCAGGACCTGCTGTTCCCCTTGAGGAGGAACACCTACCACAACATGGGAGCTGTGCCAAGGCGGATCTGGCTCACAGTTTGGATTCTACTGACCCAAGAACAGCAGGAAGAATTTAATAAGATTATACAGCCATGAAAAGGAGAGGTTTGGATTGAATTCTGCCCCAGCTACATCCTCCTTGACTTTACTGTGGGCAGGATTTCTTCATGAGAACTTTAAACTTCAGCTCTATTGATCCAGTTGAAACAGTCAAAGCTGATAAATCACATTTGAGGACTAATGTTTTTCTCCCATTTTTACACAGAAGACATCCATATATATTTTCCATGTTCAAAGACTCATCCTACCCGCAGATCTTAGTAAGCAAAAGCACTCAGCCAGCACTGCAGCCAGCAGAGAGCTGCACAAACACCGGTGCCCCTCACCCAGAGGCCATCAGAGGGAGGGTCACAGTCTGTACCTGCAGGCCAGTGATGGCCAGCAGCCACACTGCAAACACACTGCTGTGCAAGACACAGGAAAAACGCTCATAAGGATGAGCACTTCATTTTCAAATTGCTTTTGGGTACTCGTTAAGGTATTTGAGGTACTTGTTACTTGAGCAGTCACATGGACTCTGCAAAACAGATCATTAACTATAGATTCATTTGCTAGTAAGTAATTCATAAATATTTACACATGATATTTAAATCCAAAGTCAACCAGGCCAATAAAACAAAACTTAGAAAAAAAGCCCCAGATTGCTTTTTTTTTTTTCTTTTTCTAGTGTTTAAATTCCTTTATGTTTTAATCTGCTTACAGTCCCATTGCTGGGATGTGTTATAAACCAATGCCTTTAAAAATGTTTATAATCTGCTGTGCACTTCAGCTGATGTTTGAAAAGTAAAGGGTATAAAGTAAGACCTGTGGGAGATCAGTAAGACTGAAGATCACACCAGGTAAATAATCCAAAAAGAAAAAAGGAGTTCAGAAAAACTGAGAAGGCGAGGTGGCCAAAGACAAGGGAATAAACTCTATAAATGGTATTTAGGAACTTTGATTAGATAGGAAAAGGCTTACAAATGGACACTTTGCTGAGGTCAGTGAAGGGATCTGCAAAACTCTTGGTGCAATCCCTAATCTTGCCTTTAATTTAATTATTTTTTGTGTGCCTTGCAGAAGGCAGAATCTAATGCTGAAAAAAACCATTTTCAACAGGTTAAGCCTGCTCAGCCAGCTGAGCAAGACAACTATCTCATAGAAGAATGCTTGGGCAACCAATACACCCACAAGTCATGTCAGAAAGTTTTTTGTCACCCATGGGAACGATGTGTGGAGGGAAAATGCCTGTGCAAGCTTCCCTACCAGTGCCCAAAGAATGGTTCTGCAGTTTGTTCTACCAGTGGAAAGAACTTCCGTACTTACTGCCAGCTGAAGAGCTATGAGTGCCAGCAACCCAAAGCAAAGTTTCTGCACAGGGGAACATGCAAGCCTGAAGGTATTCACACCTTCTTTTCTGAAATTTATCCATCAGGGGTGGCTGAGGAGATACTTACACTATTTATATAAAGTCTGTTCATTTTCTTGCACTAGTAACAACATGAAACAGAAAATGAAAAGTCACTGAAAATGGGCAGTATCTGCTGATTTTCATAAAAAATAAAGTGATTGACAAGCCCAGGTCACCCTGCTGCTGGTTTTGCTACACAGACTGCTGTAGGCAGTTTGCAACACAGGTAATAGAAGTAGGATGTGGCCCTCTCACTTTGAGTATTACTGGTTGGTTATCAAAAATCCCCTAAAGAAGGTCATTATAGTAAAACACAACCTGTTCTTGGTAGATCTTCAAATACCCTTATGGACCCATTACCGTCATTTGTCCTTAAACTGGCATATTCTGAGAAATTAGCAGGCTCAAAGACACAAAGTCAATCCTCAGAACTAATTCAGGAATAATACCTGAACCTTCTGATTCCCAATCTACTGTTCTTTCCATATGAACTTTGGCTGTAAATACAAAATTAGTCCTGATTTGGTTGTGTGCTGTCTTTCCACTAGATACATCTATATAATATGATTTTGTTTGGGGATTTTTTTTTTCATTTCTCTCTTTTTTATTTTTTAAGAAACATTTTCAGTCTCTCTGGGTCACGGAGATTCAAGTTTGCTTCAAGTAAAACCTGTGAATCGTAAGGAGGACAGTTTTGTGTGTGCTAGTGAATGGACTATGAATGAAGCAAACGTGGCTTGCAGGCACCTTGGCTTTGAATTGTAAGTTTGGGCAATTTATCTCTGGATAACTGCAGGGGTTCTGAAAAAGTAGTAATGCTTACAGAAGTGTCAGTCACAGCCAACAGTTAAGACAGAAAATTCATGAATGATTTATTGGCTACAATATTCTGATAAAACTTCTTAAACTGACACCTGAGAGTGAAAGCCAAAACACAGATTTCTGTGTTCTGTTACAGGCTACAGCGATACAAACCATAACTGTTTTGCTTTAAAATAGAGATGAAGACCAGTGTGGAGGTGTTCTCTCAGGCCTGTGTTAGGGAAAATGCATGGATGGACCACTCCCAAGTAGCTCTGCGCAATGATCTGTGAGCAGAGAAAGGTTTCTCAGGACAGCTGACAACAGGGTACAGCTCTGTTTTGCCACTTGCATTAGCCAGATTAACAAGGAGCAGAACACAGGGTTTTTTCCTTCACCCCTGCTGCCACTGCTTGCTCTGGCCCCAGGGATGGCTGAAGTCACACACAGCCTGCTCTTTTTCTGCAACCACAATGATAACCCAAGCTGCATATTCAGCTCCTCATAAAGTTACCTCTATATCCTATTCATAATAATTTTACACCTCTACACATAACATAACTTAGGTAGCATTGCCTTCCCAACCTTACCAGAAAAAAAACCCTAAAAAAAGTCCCCAGAAAACTAAAGCTGCTATTGCAGTACCTCTCTAGGTGAGAAGCAAATGTTTCCTAGTCCTGATCAGTGTATCTTCGGATAGCAGAGGGGTTTGCCCTGGACAGAGCATTCAGCTGTGGAGTCTCATTGAAAGCCTCCCTAGTTACTTATTTACTAGATCCATGTTTCTTTAAGGTAGGGGATACACACGCTGTTAGGAGAATACTGCTCAGGTAAAACCAAGAAAGATAAAATTTATCAATCCCAGCCTTGCAGTGGCCTGAGCTTCCTCAGCATTCAGTGGTTTGGATGGGACCAAGGATATCTGATCCCGTGCAGGATGGTTCCCAAGTTATGGTTCACCCATGTCCACAGAGAAATGGAGGTCTGAGATTACAAGTTTTGCTACATGAGGAGACTTTTCTATCCACTGTGATACACAATGACTTTCATGGACCTGCACATGCATTTGGGGACAGTTCTATGTAGCAGCCTGCAAAAATTAGCACTTCTTCCAAAGTAACCATCTCCTTTTTATCCCTAGACAACTGCAGTTGCTAGTCTGCTCTTTATCTTAGCCATGACCAAAATTCTTTGACACTGAGGAAAAACATATAAATTCTCAACAATAAAAGCAGTGGACAATCCATTGTGAAATTATATAATTTGTTGTTATTATTATTATCTTCACAGAGGTGCTGAATATTACCAAGCCACTTCCAACATCACAGAATCTGCCTTAAATTCATTAAACTGTCTGCAAATAAGTTGCAAGGGCCTAGAGACAAGTCTTGCTGAATGTCACATAGAGATGAAATCAAGAGATAGTAATGAGGGACTGGTTAGCCTGCAGTGCCATGAAAATCTCAGAGGTTAGTAGATCTTTTTAGTTTAATATCTATTTGGTGGTTTTACATTTTAAGTATATTTTAAATAATGAGGACCCAGTCTGCTGAACTCTCAGCCACAGAAAACCTGCACTGAAACCTTTTGATTATTTTAAATCATCGTTTTGCAGACTTTAAGACAATTGAGGCAATATGGAGTCAAGATAGTCTTGAGTTTTCAAGTTTGAAAAATCACTGCTGCTCCCGAAGTATTTTTACAGATATTTCCCCAAAGGAAATTTATTCCATCCATGGTTCTGTTTGTTCCACCATCCCTTCCAAGGGCACCAGGGTATATTGTATCCCATGAACCTTACCTCTCCTGGCTTAACTGGTGAGGAGACAGGTGACAATGTGGTGCTCACTGTTTGAGGGACATCAGTTAGCACACCACTAGCACCACAGCCAGACAAGCACAACTACGGGGAAACTACTGGTGTCTTCTGTGGGGGTTTCAGGACTCCTCAGTTTCTCACTGTAAAGGGGGAATCAAAGACCTGTTTAGAATTCTAACAGTTTTTCATTCTCTGTAGGGAGCTTTCTTTGGCACTGGTGAGTATCAGCCTGAGATACTGCTGACTGGAAGTGCTATGAATCATCTCAGTTTTTTTCTTACAAAAGCAGTTATTCACAGACTCTTGATGAGTTCTTTCTAGAGGAGAAACCTCCATAATCCTAATCCCTTGAATCATTCATAGTGGGTTTGAATTGATCATTTCTGGTTTAGTCCTCACCAGTCCTTTCAGTAGAAGAAATTAAATTCCCTTTTGCCAGGATACTGGCAAATTTAGAGGAAGAAAATGAGTGGTCACTCTGAAACCCTATTTGAAAGGCAACAAAAGCAATAAAAAATTATTCCTATTTACCTGACTGGGCCCCAGCATACCTACTGCTGATAGGCCAAACTGCTGACAGAATCCAATATGCAGGCAGAGTATTTCCCTGAGCAATTATGAACCTACAGTCAATTCCACACTAACTTCATTTTCATCTTGCTGCACAGATTGTTCAGATGGGGAGTTTCACTGTGTCAACAAGAAGTGCATTTCTCTGAATAAAACCTGTGATGGGATCAATGACTGTGGAGACATGAGTGATGAACTGTGCTGTAGAGGTAACAATTTCCTTTGTCAGGTGTTTCAAAATAATTTCAGCAGAAATCCACCCACAGAGAATTTTTACAGTGATGTAACAGCTAAATTCTCTTTTCCATTAAGTCAATAAATTAAACAAATCAGACCATAATTTATACATAGACAAGTGCAAAAAAGCAGACATGAAATACCATTTTGAAGCAGACGTGATCTCTTGAGAATCTGAATTTCTTCAGAGAATGAGAAAATACAATGAGATCATTTAGGAGGCTGTTAAACATTGATAAAAAAATCTAGTCCTGATAGAATGAAAATGTACTTTTACTTGGAAAAAATCAATAATTTTGATTATTGATTACTGATTTTAATCAGTAATTAAACAAAAACACTGGTTTTGCAATGAACTATCTTTAAACCAAAGTAAGATCTCCCTTATATTTATTACTAATGCAAGATCATCTGTGGAACATCTGTGATGTTCCTGGCACACTGCTTGTTCAGGAGCAGTCATTCCTTTAGCATCTGCAATTCCAGCTGCAAAACTTCTGATTAGAAATGAGGAATGGATCTAGCATGACTTGAATGCAGGACAATACTTTCAAAATTTGGGTTTCAGGTACCAAATGCTAATGTGGGTTACAAATCCCATCATTATCCCTCCATAACCTTAATTTTGTAGTGTTACAATTGTAAGTCATTTTAATGAGATAATTGTGGAAACACGGTCACAGTAATTTTAGGAAAAAAAAAAAACAACCTGTGATTTCATATATTTAGTGGACATGTATTTGGATTGCACATGACAAAAATAGTGCTGTAAACAATGCTTCTTGAAATCAAAATAAGTATTTCAACTGAGTTCAGTGGTCTTTGGATCACCTTGGGATATCTGGATACTTTTAGAGAACTACCTTATTTTCTATTAAAGACAAATATCTTAAATAGGAGATTGACATAAGACTTTAAATTAGCTCAGAAGATCCTGCCATGAATTCAAGCACTGCTTTGCTTTTGATAATATTCAAAGGGATCACAAAATTTAAAAGGAAGGGGGTTCTCAGGTTCATAATACCTTTTCATATAACCAAGAATTTTACAAGATGTAAGTTATTTCATCCAGTGTTTTCCTGTCAGGACTCTTGATTCCTAACCCTGCATTTAGGCATTTAACTCATTCAACCAAAACTCAGCTTGTTCTCTGATTTGGGGGGGTAGGATTTGGCACAAGCATCATCAGTTCCTCATTTGAGGTGATCAGTGATGCTGGCAAAATTGGAGATCTTTTGGCTGAGGTTGAGTGTGGATGTGTTATGGATGAAACTGGCATAGAGTGACACCAAGTCTAGCAGTACAGTACTGCAGTGGTAACAGAGATCCACATTTTTCAAATCTTGTAACTTCAAGATTTTAAAGTGAAGAAAGCCAAGTATTTATTTTGTTTACATGCACAGAGCCTGCTTTGGTAATCTCTTAATGAACAGGCCCTGTAACATGGATATACATTTGGTTTACATTGTAAAAAGCTCTCTGACAGTGTGAGGTTGCTGAACCAAATCATCCTGTGATTTACATTCATAATTTTCCTGTGTTACAGAGTGCAGAGAAAACAGTTTCCACTGCCGGTCAAATATCTGTATTCCAAATAAGAGTGTCTGCAACAAAGAAATTGACTGCCTCACAGGAGAGGATGAAGCTGGAGCTACCTGTGCAGGTTTTCTTCTGAAAAATGTTTTTGTTTCTTTCATTCAGCTCAATTTTAACTAGAGGCTACACAATGCACATTACTATTTTATTTATTATGCAAGAATCAGTCTTCCCAATGTTATGTTATGCATAGTAGGAAGAAAAGGTCAAAGAATTTTCTCTCCTTTCTTCCTGGAAAGGCATGACAAGAACACTAAAGGAAGGAATAAACAGATGATGTTTTGGGAAGCTTAAGGCAGATTATGTCTTTTGTTTATGTGGCCAGCTATCAAACTGGTATCCCCTAAGAAAGTGTAAGAAAGCAGGAATACTTTCCTCACAAATGAGTTATTCAGCTAGTTTGTCAATATAATAATTCTTCTGTGCTTTTCCCCTCTCTATTGAAAAGATTACGTTTTGTTTGAAAATTAGAATGTTTTCCTTGCTCTCAAAAGAGACAAAGCCTAAGGCCAAAAAAGTAAAAACTATTGGTAAATGGTAATTAGCACAGGTAAACTGAACTCTAAATGTAAACATTATTGTCAGTGACATGAGAACAGACACAATGCTCAGCTCCCATTTAGGGACTGAATTCAATGGGCACTTTGTTTGAATAAAAGCTGACAAACCAGATTCCACAAGCATTTAATTCACCTCTCATGTTGCATATCCTCCCTTACCCTGTTAAAGGACACACACAGTACCCAACAGCATAATCTAAATTGGGGGGAAAAAACCAAATACAAACCTGTTACTTAATGCTCCTTTGAGTTTTAGAAAGTTTCAAAATATCAGTGGGTCAAGAGGAGAAATTTTGGTTGTTTCTGGTGGAGGAGAATGGGACATCTCCCCAGAGATCACAAACAAAAAAAGGGCAGTTTCTCAGGGTTTCCTGGCAGAAGGGCCCCCTAGGCTTGGAGAGTGAGTAGATGTTGTGTAGTTATGAACAAGTATCTGCTGGCTGCTGGTCATTTGTAGGCTGAGGCAGCCAAACAGTGCCTCAGGAAAGGAAACAGTCCATGTGAACAGTATGCCCTTATGCATTTAAAATGTGTTCCATGATCTCAGCACACAAACATATATGCAAGTAAATGTTTGCCGATAATTTAAATATTTTGTTAATAATACAGGCAAAGAAGAAGGTGCTGAAAATGACAGTATGGATACAGGTAAGTGTAATTAGCCCTCCAAAATCAACAGCATACCTTCTTATTAGTGATTTTGTAGCTACCAGCCAGCTGCTCAGATCTAGAACACACAGGTATTCTGACTTTGTGATTTACTAATATACACTATGGGACTTACTGTTTGTCTCACTTTTCACTGATTTCAAGAATGCCATAATAATTCATCCTACCTGAGGACCTACATCTGCACGGTTTGGCAAGTGGTAAACTCTCAGCTGAGGTAAACTCTCAGCAAATCTAGGGGAACATCCTTAAAATTATTTGCCTGAATGCAAACAGCATTGGAAAGTGGAGAGAAGTAATGTGATGCTAAGACACAAGCAATTTTGAAAGCAAAAACAGATGCCAACATTTTGGTCTTTGTTTTCCTGTTATTTCAGCTACTAGGCACATTCACATATTCACAGCACTCAAATCTTAGCAAGAATGTATACCTGAATTCTGAAATACGTTTTTCCTTTTTGTTAAAGAAAGAAAAATGATAAAGACACTTCTTCCCCAAGTGCACTGTGGTGTTAGGAATCACACACTAACTCGACGGAAAAGAATTGTAGGTGGAGAGATTGCTGGAAAGGTAAAAAACAACTTTACCAGATATGAGTTCATTCAGCACTGATTTAACTGGGCATTATTTTCCTTCTGTTAAAGTTATGGGAAGAACAAAATCAGCTACAATGCTTATGTCATGTTTTGCAGCAATAGTGGCATTGCACTGAATAAAAGAGAAGCACAGTTTATAAAGTAAAATATAGAGTTACAAAATTAAGCACTGAAGTACAAGTAGACACTGAAAATTATGCAGAAAAAAATTAATACTACAGCCAAAAATAACAATTCTGGCAAAATGGAATTAAATTTTGTGTCTTTGAAACAGAATACAGCAAATATGTGACTCAAACCAGGTGAGATCCTCCATCTGTTTTTCTGACTACAAGGGGTTTCATGACTGAAAGCTGGAGAGAAGGACACATTGCACAAAGTCAGAAGATTGAATAAAATTACTGAATTTATATATATATATCCATAAAGGATATATATATATATATATATATATATCCTTTATGGAGCCCAATTTACAACTTCTGGATAGAACATCTTTTATTAAAATGAGATGTTTTTCCCTTTATGCACCAAAAGTTGCACAATTGTAATGATTTCTCATTATTTGTGTTTGTTGATCGAATAGGGTGAATTCCCCTGGCAAGTGGCAATTAAAGACACCAGCAATGAAGGTTCAACAGTGTACTGTGGAGGGGTTTATATTGGTGGCTGTTGGGTTCTGACTGCTGCTCACTGTGTCAGGTAAAAACAATTAATTCTGAAATTATTTTCTTTCTGCAAGGCAGAAAAATTAATTTGGACAGTTCTGCCCTTCTCAGCTACGTGTTTGTTAATTTCTTTTTGTCTGTTGAATAGAACAGTTTAAAACACTGACTCACCCACATTAAGGATGAGGAAGATTCAGAGAAAACTGAGTGTTTTGGCAGTGAATAGAAAGATAAAAAGTAACTATGAGTTTGAAAAGACATGGCGTACTTCAACCAGACAGCAGCAGGCGGGAAAGGTTTATTGTAACCACTCTGCTTGAAGTTAAATACAAGGGACCTCTTCTCTTCTCCATCTCTACCTTGTGGAAGTCCAGGATCTGTTCCCAGAGAATGTCCCTGGGGTTATATATTCCCCAGAACAAGCCAAGAGCAGATGTGTACAATTTGCCAGCCCCATCCACATCTGCTCACTCTTTTATCAGAGCAGCATAAACACCTCTTTTTTGTTTGTCACAACACTAAAAAGAGCCTGGCTTTAACATCATGTTCTGTATTAGTTGCACTACTCAGCATGTGTCATCTGCCTTGATGACACTTACTACACTTCAGAAAAACCTGGGCATTAAGTCCAGAAAGAAAATATATGCATCTAATATGGATTGTTATTCTACAGAAACTTTGATAAAAATGCAACAGTTTACAGCTTTAAACCAGCTGAAATGTAAGGCTTGTGTTTATTTCGCTGTTTTTTTCCAGGGCAAATCGAGTCCATCTCTACCTTGTCTGGGTCGGAATGTTGAACACAATAGCGTACGACAAAGAGACAGATACTTTCAAACTAAACCAAGTGATAATTCATGAAAATTACAATGCATCAACGTATGAAAATGACATTGCTCTGCTGGAGCTGAAAGGTTCTGGGCACGGAGAATGCTCCCTGGAAGACAACAGCATACCTGCCTGTGTCCCCTGGTCAGAGTATATGTTTAAGACTGGTGACAGATGCAAGGTTTCTGGATGGGGACTAGAGAAAGGTATTTGCTTTAGTGCTCACTTCAGGAATGTATTGTTTGTATAACTCATTTCCTAATTGTGGTGAGCTTTCATTTTGAAAAGGCTGAAGAACAGTTGTGCACAAAGCACTCAGAAGAGGCTGAGTACAGAAAACATAGGCTGTGGTTTGGCACTCAGGTATCACTCTTTTCTGTACTGCTTCCTCTCCTGTTTCAGCCACTTTGTAGATTGATATGGAGGACACATCTGGATGAAAACTGCCCTGGAAGTAAGAAATTTTCCTTCTGTCCATCTAATAGTTCTGTCAGCTGTGGAGACCTGTAAAGGACACGTAACAGATGTTGTTTGGTAGCTCACGGGAGCCCACAGTCACAGCCAGTCCTCTGTCCCCTTCCCAACAGGATCTGAGCTGCAGCCAGCACTCATGAAACTCAGCACATCCTGTCTCTGCCATGCCTGGGTTCAGCCAGAGAAGCTTGCACAGAGACAGATAAGCCAAATATGATCATGCTTTCAAAGATTTGGGAAGCATTTGTTTTGTATCACAGTGTTACAGCGTGGCATTGGAGTTACCATATACTTACTGGTTGGGAGGTTTCTCCTCTCCATACTCAGTAGCATCATCCCAGCAAATGCAAAGTTGGGAATTGCTAGCAAACAGAGAACAAAAGAGAGCATCCCTTTAGACTTGTGAATACCTAGCTCACCCATATCTTCAGTGACTGCTCCATAAAGACAGAGTTGGAAAAAAGGCAATAAGGATGAACCTCAGCCACATCTCCAGTTCACAAAAAACAATGTACCTGTTTCCAAGTGCCTGGAAACCTTCATATGGAAAACACAGAAAAAAAACCCTGAGGAACACAAGGAAATGGAAAGGGTGAAAATGTCACAAAATGAAAGCACTGTAGTTTATACTGCAATTAAACCACTCTGCTTTTGTTTTGAAATATATGGCCAAGGGACTGTAATTCATATGTGGTAAATACTAGTGGCACTTTAAGGTTTCTGGTTTATAATACTGAAGATAATATTCTGTAAATAAGTAAATAACTAACTTTCAAATTATTATATTAAATGTGTCTAATTTGTACTTGTCATTTTAAATTTGGATTTTTTTTTTTCTAGGTTACACAAAACAATTTATCCTCAAGTGGGGAAATGTTAATTTATTTCACAATTGTTCTGAATTGTATCCAGGACGATTTTTTAAAAAAATGGCATGTGCAGGTAAGCATCAATTTTCTTACTATAATTTCTCTCCATCAAACTCTCAGTTTAGGCCAAACCTACTGGCTGGGAATATTCTAGACTTAAGAAAGACAATAAATGAACTACCACAATATCACTGCTGGCTACGTGCCAGCCACTAAGCCTGTGGCATCCACCATTATACACATATTTGTAAACAGACAAGTTTGTCAACATGTCAACAGCATTACAGGTTTCTGTGATTATTTGGGCAATTTTTTGCATGTAATTTGAGTTATGTTTTCTAAATACACTAGCACTTTACAGCCTACTGAACCTCCTACCTTTACTGCACTTGATTCTGATTCAGCAACATATTTAAGCAAATGCCTGTCCTAGAACACACAGCCCTGTTGACTAGAATATAACTATTCATCTGCTGAGACATTTGCCTCTACCACACTGCATGCCAGGAAAATACAATTAACTTTTCAAACTTAGATTAGTCTGTCCAGGAAACTGGTTGCCACTCCTAGTATTAAAATGAGGATTTTGAATGCACATTTATTGCTTCCCTAGTGACACAAAGTGTTGCCAAATACATGACTAAAAGAGCAGTGAGTATTCAGCTCACAGGGCAGATGGTTTCAACTGTTTGTTAAATCAAAACCGGAAAGCAATCTTTAAACAAACTACTCAACAAGAAAATTAAAACCAGATATAAAAGCAAAATAATTTGTAATAAATTCAGGATGTCAGCTGTAAGATACCGGGTTTATTTAGTTCACCAGTTCTGTAATTTATCTCCCTTTTCTTCAATATATTTCAAGTCATCATACTCTACCATGAGGGGACAATGACAGTACCACATGAGACACATTCAGAAAGGTGATATCTGGGGTTAACATCTCCTCCTTGATGGAAATAAAAACTTTAAAATTAAGGTTTGGTATTCACAGGAGTTAGTTATACAAGCAAGTATTAATTAAACTGATTAAAGGCAATAAATTCTTGTTTCATAGGATTAGTAATCCTAACTTAGAAAAATTTACGTAACTCTTTCTCAGTAATGTACAGATTCAAGAAAGAGGTTACATTTTAAAAGCTTGGGGACTTGTGCTTTGTATGGTTCATACTAGGTCAGTCAGCCAAGCAGGAAAGTGTAGTAAGGTGCTAGAAATTAATAAACTTTTACTGAGTATATAGGAAAAATGTGGCTGAATTCTCCCCTATTGCACTGCATAAAACAAGACTGATGGAAAAGCAAATGAGAATTTGGACCAGCCACAAGTATAAAGAGAGGCCCTGCACTTGAAATGAGAAGTAACAGACTTGAAGAGGTTCAGAATCTTGTTTACTGGTGACCATTAGGCAAACACCTGTCAGAAGTATGAAACATGCATATATGATGATTGGCTTTTCTCAAATATTAAAATGAATATTATATGTGTTATGTTAGAAAGTTATGCTGTATTAATTTTCTTAAGTAGTGTGTTAAATATAGTTTTACGTAATAACATAATGTTAAAATAGAAACTATGCTATGTAAGATACTTTTTTTAAAGAAAGGAATGAGGTACTTGCACTGAGACAGCAGCCACAGGACACCTAAATCTTTCAGAGAAAAAGAATTTATTGCTCTCTTATCAGAAGAAACTAACTTCTTCCCACCTTGCTCAGCCCTGAAGACACCGTTAGGATTCAGAGGAAGAAGCTGACACTGACCAGACAGAATCCTTCCTTTTAATGGGAGTTATGCATCATGTATGAGGTGTATGAATATGCAACAGGCAATTGCTTTTAAGGGTTAATCCTCTGTTAACGGGTGTCCTTTTTCGGGCTTATTTTGCCCAGAAAGAGGTACTGAGGCTGTCCGTAACTCTTTCTTTTATTGTCTCATATGGTCCTAAATCCTAATTGTCCAAATTTTTGTTACTCTAATTATATTACTATTTTTAGAACCATTTCATTACTATTAAACTTTTAAAATTTTAAAAACAAGTGATTGGCGTTTTTCCCAGGAAGCGACACAGACCTGAAACATCTCCTGAGCTCTGCCTCCTCGTGTGCCAGCCAGCTTGTACCTTAACTCACCTTCACTTTTTATTTCCCCTTCAGGTACCTACGATGGCTCCACAGACAGCTGTAAAGGTGATTCAGGAGGCCCCCTGGTCTGCTTTGATGCAGAAGACGTGGCCTACGTGTGGGGCATTGTGAGCTGGGGTGAGAACTGCGGGGAGGCCGGTCACCCTGGCGTGTACACACAAGTTGCCAGCTATTATGACTGGATCAGCCACCATGTGTCAAGGGCTCTCATTTCACGGTACAATATCTGAAGCTCAGAAAATTAAATGCTTCCTTTATAGTCCTTTTCCACAATCAGCTGTCCTATAACTTAGCAAGAATCAGTACAGATTTTCAAGGAATGTATTTTGAAAATTCTTAACACTCTGTGAATACCACATTTTTGCAGAGGCTGTGGGAAGAGAGTTTTACAGGCACAAGTCCACTGCAAAGGTCTCTAATAAAAGCAGATATTAAAACATTTTTTTCTCGTCATCTTGGAGTTTTTTTCCACTTTCACATTGCATTTCAGTTGCTGTTGTTTATTTAGCTAAAAGGGATGATGGTACTGGAAGCAGTGGTTGGAAAATGACTGCACTGGCAATATATGAACTTCACAGAAAGGACAGCAGCCAGCCTGCTTTAAAGAACTTACATCATCTCGAGGTCTAAGTCACCAGAAACCCTCAGCAGGCTGCCTGGCTTGGCACTTGATTCCTTAGGCTTATTGCAGAAGTAGACCTCAGCCCATCTATTAATCAACAGATTGATTATAACCATGAGATTTGTTGTAATGCAACAATTACTCAAATAATAAATCAAATAATAAATCTCCTTGGTAGTTTTAAATAATAAAATAAACAATACATCTCCTTGGTAGTTTTTGCAGCTACAAACTCAGACAATTAATATCTAATACATCATATGATCATCTAGCCTGGGGCAATTTTTGTAGCTCTTAAGTTTTATGAATTTAACAGCAGCTGGTCGCAAACAACAAAGGAATTTTGAAACTTAAATCTTCAACTTAAATCAAAAGCATCTTTACATCTTAAGATCTCTGTGTATGTATATGTATTTCAGGTATCCAACAAACTCTCAACACCAAGAAGAGTTTTACTCTAGACACTATCACACGCTCTGTGTGCATCTGTGTTCTTATACACATACATTTTATATAGCAATATAAATATATAAAAAGATAATACCTTATACACGTAGATTTAATTCTACAAAACCATGTAGCAGATACAAAGCTAGACTTCTTGCTGTCATAAAGAAAACATCAGGCTATACAGAACACCTTCCCATTCAGCAAGAGCTGTTCACAAAAAGTGTGCACAAATTCTTTTTGAAGCAGTAGAATTTGATTTGTGGATTGGTATCCTCAACAAAAAGCTCACATAGCTCCAGCCAGTTGTATGAAAATTATCAATAGCTTTAGAACATTTTTCACTGTATTCTAATGACAAATACTTTCAATATCTATTTCACTTTATTTGTCTAAATTATCCTGTTGAATAAATTGCATATGTTCACACAACACACTTGTTGTGGGGCTATTTCTTCTATAATTCACCACAGTCAGACAACAATTTTTATGCTTTCATTGACTTTTCTTCATCTTCCAGACTTGTAGAAACCCCACATCGGCATGACTCTGTCACGTAAAGACACCACCAGTCACCAAAATAATTAAAGTAAGGGTGTGAATTCCTTCTCTTAACAAACACACACACTCAACAAAGTTTGCTATTTAGGAAAGCATTTAAGTACATTCCTACACAGAAATTATTTTGCTGAATCGGGGTCTTGGTAAATGTTAAAGAAATCCTGAAAAGGAAAACGCTGGACAGATGTACAAAGAGCTCCCTCTTTTGTTTGACTTAATTTTTCTGTGAAGCACTTTTCCCAACAATTTCGTTAGTTAAGCACACACAATATTAAATGCCGAGGTTGCAAATAAAAATTAAAAAAAAAAAATAAAACCCCAGCAGAATATGTGTCTTTATGCCCTGTCTGTTCTGAAAGTCTCTTGGCTCTCTTTCCATTTCTGGTTCTTTTTTACATTTAACTTGGGCCCTGAAGCCAAATATTACTATTTTCTGATGGATTTCACACAACAATCAGAGTTTTCATTACAAAAATTAAAACAATTTTCACGTGGTTCCAATTCAGTTCATCTGCGAAGCATCTAGCATTTAATTTTTTTTTTTAAATTCTGAAAACCAAACACGGCGCTTAGTAAGCAAGTTCATTTTGGTCTGATTTTTCTTTTGAACAAATCAAGCCCGGACTTTTACCGTTTAACAGATACACTTTCATTCTGCTCCTTGCACTTTTCAAGCGCCCCTTACTTTCGGCGACGCCATGAGAACACTCACATGTGCGAACACGGCCGGGTCAGTTTCCTTCCCACCCAGCATCGTCACAAGGCTCGGTACCTCCGGGGCCCTGCTCAGCCAGCGCCGAGCTGCCAGGAACCGGGGCAGGCCCCGCTTGTCGCTACCGCGGTTCGGAAGGCCGCGCACGGCAGAGGGGACACCGCACCCAGAGGGGACACGGCAGAGGAGACCTGGCACACAGGGGACACGGCACAGGGCACACGGAGCGCTCGGCGGCGCGGCCATGGGGCGGCCGGCGGGGCGGCCCCTCCCCGCGGGCGGGCGCTCGGGCGGGGCCGCGGGGACCATGGCGGCCCTGGCGGTGGCTGTGGTGACGGTGGTGGCAGCGGGCCGGGCCGGGCGGGCGGCGGAGGAGAAGGCGGCGGCTTAGCGGGCTCGGCATGGCCCCGGCCCGGCTGTCGCTGCTGCCCCCGCTGCTGCTGCTGGTGGTCGCGGCCTGCGCCTGGCGGCCGGCGCGGGGCCAGGAGGCGCCGCAGAGCCCGGACTGGCGGATGACGCTGAAGACGATCCGCAATGGCGTGCACAAGATCGACATGTACCTGAACGCGGCCCTGGACCTGCTGGGCGGCGAGGACGGGCTCTGCCAGTACAAGTGCAGCGACGGTGAGCGGGGCTGGCGGCGCGACCCTTGTGCCGGGCAGGGCGGCCCAGCGCCGCCGCCGGGGCGAGCCGCGCTGAGGAGCTCTTCGGCGTGCATACCTGTAAATACTGTAGGAACCTGGGCGAGCAAGCTCTGGCACGTGTATGTGTGTTTAAATACGTGTATAACCTGTACGGGGCAGGGGTACACGCAAGCAGTTCTCCTAAGGCGACTTCTAAGTCGCTCCTTTTCAGCGTCTCCAAGACGTTTCCCTTGGAGAAAGGCTTATTACTGTCAAATATGTAGCTGATGTGTCCAGGGAAAAACCCTGGAGTGGGAAGAGTTACTCTCTCCCGGCTTGTTATTTACGAGCCCTCCTGAGCTTTTCGGTTTGGGAGAGAAAAGCTTAAATCTGAGCTGTGGAATATGTTGTTTCGAAGTCGCTCTTGAATAACAGGTTTTAATGGCAGCCGCGTTTGCCAGTGGAAGGAATGCATCCTGCTGTTCGTAAGTGTCCTGCTGCTGCCAGCAGAGGACAGCTGTGATCTGTGCTTCTTCCCTGCGCTTCAGCTGCCTGATTTGCCTGAACTATAATTGAGGCAGCTCAAGTAGGCATGACCTGATAGATGATTATGGTTATTATTATATTAGGCCATTATTATTAGGATGACCCTGCTTGATCCGGGCATTTGGTCCAGATGACTCACTGTGGTGCCTTCCAGCCTGACCCATTCTGTGATCACCTCCGGTGCTGTGCCCATCCCCAGAGCCAGGCAGGCGATGCTCCAGAAATAGGATTTCTTTTCAGGCTTTTTACTAGCACCCCAGAATGGGAGGCTGCTGTATAGCCTGCCGTGGTGGAGTCACATCATCCCAGTTTACTGTGTCAGATTATTTGTTAAGTCAGGAAATAAGTCTGGTGGTGACACGCTGGCTGGCTCTACAAGAGTGGCCAGGACACGGTGACATTTACGCTCTACTAAAATATGCATCTTTCAAATGTGGTTTTCTTTCCCTATTACATTTGACTGTGGCTTCAGATTGTTTCCAATACTGAAATTAACGGGAGGATCATTTTTCAAATTAACTCCACAGTCTTTCTTAACTTGGGATGCAGAATTCCTTGGTTTGCTGCACTAGCGAGTGTTCGGGGAGATGTGAGTTTAGCAGTCTCTACTAATTCAAATTCTAGTAATGTTACAGCTGTAGAAATAAAAATGATGTTTCATCCCAGTTAAGATAAAAAAAATAGATAACTACTGTTGTTTGCATATAGAGCATAGAAGTATTAATGAATTTACACTAAAGTATTCGGTTAATATAGTCCTTTATATTGCATACTTAACCAACACATGGATTTTAATAATTTTTTTTAACTTAGGAAGCAAACATTGACACTTGCTCAGGTGTGTCCTCCCTTGTCCCCCTTTCTAAAAAAAATTGCCTAGTACCCCCAAGTTGTGATTTGGAAAGAATTGTTGATATGAAGGTACCTGAATATATGTTTAAGTTAAAAATACAACTGATACTGTCTTGAGGCAAACAAATGTCTGTGGTGAGTTTTAAAACTACTAAAATCCTGTGCAAAAAAAATCTGAGACATGACAAATTACCATTTTTAGGATCAAGACCTGTTCCTCGCTATGGATATAAACCATCACCACCAAATGGCTGTGGATCCCCTCTATTTGGAGTTCAGGTAAGTATTTCCATGTTGGGGCTCCTTTGTGTGTCTTTCATACATCAGCTTTCCTCAGTGTAGATGGTTTTTTCTATCCCCCTTCTGAGACAGCATCCATATATATACAAGGTCCCTGTTCTTATCAGCTCCTAACACATGCTCTGGTGACAACATATGGGAGGTGTTAGTATTGTAAATGAACATAGCATAAACATTTTCAAAGATTACAAGCATAAAATGTGATGATGATAAATTTCTTGGGTTTTGAGTGTTTGGTTTAGTACTTTGTTTGCACAGTCTTGAAAGCAATGTGTAACTGCAGCTGTAGCCTTGTGAGAGTGGAGGGTTTGGCTATGACTCTTGCTGTCCTTACTGACTCTAACCCTTTTTCCTTAATGCTAGAAAGAAAATAGGAGTCAGCTTCTTGTCCTCCAGCTTTGGGACTTTATTTTTCCCCAACTCTGCCCATCCACCACCCCAGAGTGTAGGCTGGGGCTGGGCAAGAGGCTTGGTGGGGACACAGCTGGGCAGCAGACCTACACTGAACAGAGGGATGTTCCATACTGTACAGTGGTGCCCAGCAATAAAACTCCCAGAGCAGTGGGAGGAGGTGGGGAGGGGGTCATTGCAGAGCTGTGTATGACTTCCAGGTGGCTGTTGCTCAGAGACTGGCTTGGTATCCCCTCTGCTTTGAAATGAGGTGAATGCTTTTTGCACTGCTTATTTTGGGATATTTTTGTCTTCTTTGATTCATCTATTAAACTGTCTTTATCTCAACCCATCCCATTAGTTTTAATTTTTAACTGTTACAGTCTGTCCATAGGCTGTATTTTTCTTATGCTGGAATACCAATGAAGGTGTGTGTGTGTTTTCTGCACAGTTTGACATCGGTATCCCTTCAATGACAAGGTGCTGCAATCACCACGACAGATGCTATGATACTTGTGGCAATAAAAAAAATGATTGTGATGAGCAGTTTCAGACCTGCCTCTCAAAAATTTGCAGAGATGTGCAGAAAACGCTTGGAATCTCAGAGAGTGTCCAGGGTAAGTGTGAAAAAGCCTTTTTTTTTTTTTTTTAATGTTTAACCTAGCCTTAACCTGGCAAAGAATCTTTGTGCAGTGCAGCAAGGCCACATTTTCATAAGCTAATGAAGGAGGCTTTGTTCTGTCCCTCTGCTGTGCAGCCCAGGTGCTTGTACAGCAGAGCAGTGACACAGCATAGGAAAATGATCAGGGTTAAACCTAACTTCAAGTTAAGGTTAGTTTCAACTTTAGGGGAAAAAATAATGCTGCCCATTTGGGAGTAGAATATTGGAATACAACTTGATCAAAACACATCTATAATTCTTGCATTTACTGTAACATAGCTGTAACATGACTGTTCTGCTGGGTGATTTCTAAACTTCTGTGTGTGATTGCTAGTAAACTGTAGGAGAATACAGAATCTTTCCCTGTTATGAAATAAGGTATTAAAATAATAGACTGTCATAGTGGAAGTAGTTAATGCTGTCCCCTAGTGAATAAATGTTAGCTTTCTCAGTAACAAGCCATATGGTATTTCTTCTGGTTGTTGGCCTGCATCTGATGGATACATAACTACTTTTTAACTTGGTCAATGTCACTTTCACAGTAAATACTCCCACTGGGAGCAGTAAGTTCTTAGAACAACCTTGTGTTTGAACTTCTCAAATTTATTTAACTGTAAATAAATCATCATGTTAGTCTTCAGTGTCAGAACTGGTGAATATTTGTTCAATTCTGTTGAGCTGATGTTAAAGATAGCAACCTCTGCATAAACTGGGATGCAAAGAGTGAGAAGGTAAACCAGCTCTTTCATCTTCCAAGACTCAGTATGTTTCCAACACAGATAACATTCCATATGCAATGAATTTTCATTTTGTTTGGCATATAAAAAATCTTTACTCAAAACTTAAATGACTCTGTGTTAGTTCAGTTTTTCATTTGACAATCTATTTGCTTTGCCCAGAGAAGATTGTTTCTTTCTTAGAGTCATTCTCAGTTTATCAGAGTTTTCTCCTGTTAGTTTTATATTCCACTCAAAGAGTACTTTTAACTGAACTCTTCTTTGCTTGCAGCTTGTGAATCAACTGTTCAGCTGCTGTTTGATGCAGTCATACATTTAGGATGCAAGCCATACCTGGACAGCCAGAGAGCTGCTTGCATGTGTCATTATGAGGGCAAGACAGATCTCTGAGAGAAGACACTGAGATCTTGTGGGGTACCATAAAGCTGAAGATCCAGCCAAAAGGAAGCAAGGCTTTGGTTACAAATCTTTAAGCTTTTCAGACAGTGATACATTAAACACTGACACGAATTTACTGATTTGAAGATCACTATGATATTCTCATTCATGTAAAAAAGAAACAAGTCGTCCTTCTCTCCATTTTATGCCAGAAGCTTGGGAACTGAAATTGCTTTCCTTTGGTGTATGTTCACCTGTATGTGCTGTTGTAAAATGCTGGTGCCATTTTAATGTTCCCAAGAAGACTCCATAGTGGGGACATCGGAGGCACCAAGGAGTTATATTGAATTCTCAGGTGATTTTTAATACAGGTCAAATTTTAGGTTTACTAGCAGCTGAAGCATCTGATGGGTCCAGCAGGAGAGTGTGTGTGTACCAGTATGAGACATCTTTCATAGCCTGTACCTGGTGTTTCTGCTGCAGTTGCCTTGAGTTCTCTCTCATGTGTGTGGCCCTGCAGGTTTGTTGTTAAAAAACCAGGAAAACGCCCAAGCCAGTGTACATGCACTACATATTTCTACCTGATTCTATATCAATGCCTTACTTCTGCAGCACTTTTCAGATCAAATACGTTGATCCTTTTAAGGGCTGTCCAGTAAAATGAACGGTTTGCAGCCTAAGGATATACTTTTGATTTGACAGAATGGTGAAATGTAGTTTCTATGTTATTTTTTAAAAATTCATCAAATGTCTGTTTTTGAATAAAACATTTTATGTTGTGTATTATATGCACAGAAAGGATATATGTACAAATATGTTGATTTATATTTCTGTTGTGGCACAACTTGGCTACTGTATTCATCTTTGCTTTCATTTAGTCTGTACTGATGAAAACTAAAAGCAAGTTCCACAGTTAAGATCAGAGTGCCCAAAAAAACTTATTTAAGATGCCCTCTGTGAGGCTGATGGATATATGAGCCTGTACTTCTGTCACTTGTTCCCTCTCTGACTTCTCTAAGTAAAATCATCTGATGTCTGAATTATTTGGTGTTTGCTCTCTGTACTTGTTGCTTACCTACAGGTGTCAGTCCTTAGTTAACTTCTGCATTAGGTCCTCTGTTAGAAAGATAATGATTTGCTTTCATTAAAAAGCAATTTGCTTTAAATATTCACAGGAGAGGAATGAAAATTACAATATTGCATATGTGAACAGGCAATAGAAATTAAATGCATAAAATTCACTGGACTCATAGACTATAATGTGATCTAATTTTGTGTGGTTTCTTTACCTGTTGTGTTTTTGGTTTGTTTCTCACTAGAGCTTAGTGTACATGACAGTGAATGTAAGGGCTTCATAAACAAAAATTTCTGTTAAAGTTCTTTGGTTGTGCCTCAAGGTTTCTTTTCTTATTTGTGGATATGAAATAGCACTAAAAGAGAAGCATTATTGTATAGCTTTATGAAACTTTGCTAGATGAACTTGTACTTCCCCTAACTTCGGTGACATTTATTTTCTACCATAGAATTGAAACAATTCTGCATTACCCTGGAATTCCATGGTTGTAACCCTAAAAATCTTTTTGACATTAAAGCAGGGAATGTTAATGGCGTTGTTTGTTTAAAATTACAAAAGTACCACAATGCGTCCAAACCACTAATTCAGCTAGATGGCTTGCTGAGTTCTGTGCAAATGGGCTCAAACTAGGTGCTTAAATTAATGCATATCCTGGGTTTGGATGGGATAATTTTCTTCATAGTAACTGATGCAGTGCTGTTTTGGTTGTAGTGTGAGAATAATGGTGGTAACTGATGATTTAGTTGTTGCTGAGCAGTGCTTACCTTAAATCCAGTAAATCTCAGTTTACCATACTCCACCAGTGAGGAGGTGCACAAGAAGCTGGAAGGAAGCATGGCCAGGAGAGCTGACCCAAACTGCCCAAAGGAATATTTCACACCATAGAGCATCATGCCTAGTATATAAAAAGGGGGGAGTTTATATCCTGATCAGCTTGAAGCCACCAACCGCTGCTTGGGGACTGAACAGGGGGTGGTGAGACACAGTATTGTGTGTCAATTGTCTGTCTTGGGGTCTATTCATCTCTCTCTTTAGCCTTTTAATTTTTATTATTTTTCTTTCTTTATTTCAGTTACTGAAGTGTTCTGACCTAAACCCTTGAGTTTTTCTGATTCTCCTTCTCCCCATCCCGTCTGTGTGTGTGCCTCTGTGTGTACACATATATACTTAGTCACCGGCTGGGGTTAAAACATGACAACACGGAAGGTTTTCACTGTTGGAAAGAGCTGGGTTTTGTTCCCTCCTCTACTGACCTGTAATTATACCATGGAAGCCTCCCGGAGTTTCTTTGAAACCATGTAAAACACTGAAAGAGCTTTAATACTGCTGGATAGCACTTTGATAGTTCTGCTTGCAAACCACAGGAGGCATTTCACTTCTTCCAGGTAGTCTTTACTTTGCACAAGCTTTTCCTGTTGCAGAAATCCTTGATTAGAGTTGCCTGCAAGTTATACAAAATGCATTTTGCAGAAGACCATAGCCCTAAGATGAAGGCTAGCTATCACTCCTGGGATCAATCATACCATTTAAGAACTTACATATTTATAAATATATGCAAAAATGTAATGCTTGTCCTGGTTGTCACAGTTATAGTTAATGTTCTCCTTAGCTGCTGATACAATGCTGTGTTTTGGTTTGAGGATGAGAGTAATGATAAAACACAGCTTCTCCTGCTGCCCTGCCAGAGAGGAGGCTGATGTACACAAGGATTTGGGAGCAGACACAGCCAGCTCAGCAGACCCCAGCTGACCCAAGGGATATCCCACACCATATGGAATCCTGCTGAACAATAAGACTGGGGGGAGTTGGCCAGGGAAGTCCACAGGAAGTCCTTGGGGACTCGCTGTGCATCGATCACTGGGCGGTGAGTCTGTGTGTCACTCATCTTGTGTATCCTTTTATTATTATTTTCTCCTCCCTTTCTGTCCTGTTAGACTGTCTTTACCTTTTTTCTGATTTTCTCCCTCATCCCACTGGGGGGAGTGAGTGAACAGCTCCATGCTAGATTAAAGCATAATAACACTATAGATAGCTGCTCATTTAACTCAATACTGCATATTTTTGTGTGGTCAGTAATACTGTACAGCAGTGTGTCCACAATCAAATTTCCTTCTTCAGACTGTAGTTCTGATCCATCCATAATACTTTTTCCAAAAAATACCCAGCTACAATCTGAAAGTGTTTCTAAACCTATGGGAACGTCTCACAATAAAACTCCCATGAATTACGATGAGCTGGAAATGCACACCAGCCCAGCGCTGCCTCGGGCTGCACACTGCGATCAAGTTACCCCTGACTCAACAGTGCTGAGCCTGCTCTGAGCCTCCAGCAAAACAGAGCAGAAAAAACCTCTGTCTTACAAGGATCTAAGCAAACTGTTGGGCTGAGGAACACGGCCGACAGAGTCCTGGATTTTGGTTCTGCAGCTGCAGAACTTCACACGGCAGTCTGGCTGCCTGTGGGTTCAGGGGCAGCTCTAGCAGGAGCTGTGAGAGCTGGGATCTGCAGTTGCCAAAAAATGAATCTGTTTGGTAGGAGTCTAAATGTTACCCAGTATAAGATGCAAACTTTGTGATAGTGTCATGTTTAATCATAACTAAAGATTGCACGAAGACAATTGAAACAAAGTTCTATCTTGATCCAGCTGCCTACTGGCAGTCTGAGGGTAACAAGTCTGAACAAGACAAAAACGAGCAAAGGCAATTAAAAATACCCCATGGCTCCTTTAATCAAAGGGAGACATCTTGTCTAAAATCTTTACCCATGCAAGAAGGCTGAGTGAAACCAGACTGGGTAAAAATGCCTATAATTCCACTCTAAATCTGTTTCCTTTTGTGCTTGTAGCAGCACTCTCTTAAGTGTACATTCATAACTGAGTTTATCTCCCCAGAAGTAGGCTGGAAAAAATATTCAGATCCCTCTAGGGTACAATCTGTAAAGCTCTTATACAGAAGAATGGGGTTTTGTCATTGGCTTTGGTTTAGAAACTTGTTTGTTATGCAATTAATCAGTGACCGGCAAGTGCCGCATAATTCCCGGCTGGGGAATACTCGTTAAGACACCAGGGCACTCTCGTCAATACCTTGCAAAGCAATTAATCAGTGACCGGCAAGTGCTGCATAATTCCCGGCTGGAGAATACTCGTTAAGACACCAGGGCACTCTCGTCAATACCTTGCAACTCGCCACACAATTCCGAAATCATCAGAGAACTGAAACGAGAACAGAGCGAAGCTGCAGAATGATCCACACATCCAAACTTCTCAAAGGTTGTGTGTGGGTGCCCGAAACGCACTTTGAGGAACAGGAGCCGTACAGGAAAGAAAACACTATGGGCCTGAAATGGGAATTTGAGTACAGTTTGGAAAAATTTAAACTAAGTGAATACGGGAGGCTCTCACCACACTTCAGGACGATGGTTTTGTACAAGCCGGCGCAGTTACTCGCCCACGGTCTCTCAAGTATGGCCCCAGGAAGCACACGGCGCACTTCAGCACCCAGCCTTGCGCTTCCCGGATCGTCCCTCGCCCTGTTCCTGGCGGAGGCGCCGCCGCGGAAACAAAGGGCGAGGGGGCGGGCCGAGCGGGGAAAGCACGGAAGGCGAGGAGAGGGGAAGGCTTGGCGGGGCTGCGTTTGTGTCGGTGTGCAGCCTCGGTGCACGGCGATGTCGGGCTCGGAGCGGCGGCCGCCGGCGGGTGCGTGTGCGGCGGGGACGCGGTGGGAAGGGCCGGGAAGGGCCGGGACGCGCCGCTGGTCGGGTTCCTGCCGGAGCCAGCGCGGAGCGGGAGCGGGATGGGGAATGTTTGCCCCCGGGAGGGGCCGGAGCCAGCGGGGCTGCCCGGCCGGAGCGCTGGGAGCGCTGCCCGGAGGGGAGCTCAGGGGGAGCGGGAGCTTTGCTTCTGTCCTTCTTTCTGTGAAAATTTAAAAAGTTTAAGAAAGGACAATAGGAGACAAGACCATAGAGTAAAGGCTGTTACGGCCGGGTGCATATTGGCCCTCAGGCAAGACTACACTTATCTTCAGGGATACCCCTTAAATCAGCCACTACATCTATTGCATCAGCCTGTTGTGTATTCATAAACAATTATGCATAGCAAACTTTTTCCCCAAACTAGTTTACGGATTCCAAGAACTGTTTAGTTTGGGTCTACCTTTTTAGAGAATGCGGATTCCTTGGGTGTAAACCATTTTAGTCCATTCTTAACACCTCCAGTTTTTGGGCCCTGGTCCACACTGTCTTCAGATGGTGAGTGCTGATAGTTGGCACATCTGCAGCAGGTGTCTTCTTCCTGTGTTCATCAGATGTTATCCCATCCAAGCAGGCATTTTAACACAAGCATACTTATATCAGCTATTTCACTAAGCTTAATTAAAAACAGAAATAAAAATTATAACTTTATAACGAAGTTACTTTAACATTACACATCTAAAACCCATTTAATATTTGCAAAAAGCCAATGTTATAATATGTATCTATAACATTTCCTTCCTTCTGGAGGAGGAGGGGAACGGGGAAGGTGCGAGGCAAAGGACGGCCAAGGAGGAAATGGATTTGCAATAAATCCAGGGCACGCCGCGCAGGGGAAAACCCCTCCGGCTCCCGGCACGGCCGCGGGACAGGGAAGCGGGGAAGGTCCCCGGCTGTAACTGGAGGGCAGGAGAAGTCAGGGCACAAAAACTTGAGTTGGCTTCCCGGAGATGCAGCTAGACTTAAAGGGACTTATTTTGTGTGCCGTTCGTTGTTTCTAAGTGCCTTGCCCTTTGGTGTTGATGGCAGAGCTGTTGAGATGGAAACGCATCCCGGGATAGTGAGATTCCAGTGTCCCCTAGCCCATACCTGATTTTTGATTGCTTTGAAGCAATCCATCTTCACAAAATTAAAGACAAGTAGTCCCGTTGGTCTCAACCAGATTTTAGAACAAGCTTGTTCCTGTGTAAGACAGAAAACTTTTCATAAATCGTAATTCAAATAGCATATTTGTGAATGAATCTGCAATATGAGAGCAACGATGAAAAACCAAAGACTAGGAAGTTACTAAACAGGATTAAATTAACAGGAAAACCATCTTTCCTAGTTTCCTGTCACCCAGGAATTCTAGTCCTCCTGTGTCTACATTTTCTGTCTTAAACTTCGATGACTATAAAATTTTATTATCTGTTTCAGGGGGAGTGGATCGCAAGAACTTTTGTCCTCTATCAATACATAGCTACATTAGTTTTGCAAAAAGCATTAATAACATTTGAAAAAGAGATGTGAAAAGCTAGTATTGTATGTGCAAAGTAGTTTGCAAAATACGTGTACATGTGACTCTTCTTATAATTGCAGGCCATGTCCAGCTGGATAGCAGACCTATATTACCCACCACAGGTACAGTGTCCTATACAGTTCTCATAATGTGGTAGTTAGTCTCTACCAGTAGTAGTAGTGATTTAATAGCCCACTGAGATGCTTAAGTAAGAGCAACAAGGATTTTAGCCTAACCATGTGCAAGTCTGTAGTTCTGCACACTGCCAAGATGTGCAGGTTCCTT